TTTATTCCTTACTGATTTACTCATTGATCATGTTTACTGTGTCAGACAGTACACAATAAATATACAGACACCACTAGGTTTGCTCCTTGCTTTCAAGGTGTTTTTAGCCTGGAGAGGTCTTAGACGTGGAGACAATTACAAACAGGTCCGTAGAGACAGACTGTCCAGAAAGAGCAGAGTTCTGGTGGAGGAGCCCCGATGTCCACAAGGACAAATCAGGGGGGATCTTCTCAGAGGAGGCAAAGGTGAAACTAGAGAATGAGCAGCAGTTAGTCAGTTGGGCTAGAAAAGAATGAGCTTTCCAGAGAGAAGGGTGGGTACATGTTATTTTGGGGAATGTAAATGTAGTCTGTACTGCGAGACGGTGAAAAGTGAGAGAGCAAAAAGCCAATTAGATGAGCTTGCTCTGCCTCCCTTCCAGATAGAGGGATGGAAGTTGGAGGGACCTCTATACAGTACCCGACCTGCAGCAAAGTTGGTATGAAAACAAGCAAGAGATATAACTATTGAAAGGTGCCTCTCAAAGACTCTCGGTGTGTAAAGAGGTGGCATTCTATCATATGAACTCAACGTGTCTCGCATTTTCTTTTACCATTTCAGGATGTATTCTCTGTGAAAACACCAATTATAAATGGTAGTTAAATGCTCAAGACATACCACAAAATTCTTTTAAGACCAGGATGAATCAGAACCCTACTACTATTTTATCTATATCACTGCTTAGATTTTTTTTGTGGAATGATCTAGAAATCATCTATCATTTACCATATTGCCTAGAGAAAATCATACTCCATTTCCTCAGAGTAGACAAACATACGAGAACATCAGGTGACTCTTTTTCTCTTATTTGCCCTGGGGATGTAAGTGAGAAAAGATACTCAGTGCTTTGGAAAACTCTTCTTTCTATGGCTTCAATTTCTGGCTTGGTATGGGCTCCAGGATAGAGCATTACAAAGTTAAGAGTATATAAGTTGTGAAGTCCATTAAATTTAATTCGGAGTTCAGGACCAATCAGGGAACAAATAGTATTGCGTTTCTGCTCATACAACAGTAACAGTTTAAAGGCCAAGGAGTTGACGAATGCTGAAGTTCAAACCATTTAAACGTCGTACTGTTTTCACAAGACTAAACAATGTTAGCAGATTTGTTTCTCTCCTAGAGAATTCCTGGAATATTATTTCATCCTCCTTTCCCTTTCCTCTGTACCAAAGCCTCACAGACATAAATATGAAAATAAACCAAATGAAAAATTCAAACAAAACAATAGCTCAAGCCTAACAAACTGTTTTCCCTTTATAAACTTGAATGTATCTGACATTAATTTAACATCAAAAGCAACACTATCCAGAGAAGATCATTTTCTAATTTGTTTACAATTTCATGCTTGGTCTCGGGCTCTATTTGACTGCATACTAGGCATTCTTTTTTCCTGGCCACATTACATTAGGGCTTGTTAACAAGAAACTATTTTTATCTCCTCT